GTTCGACTTCTCTCTCTCCCTACTCACCTTCGCTCTTAGGTTTGATCTATTTAGAGTGTGTTTCGACCCTAGTTGCTTTATTAAAAAGATAGAGTGAGTCGAGGGCTTCCATTTAATCTGAACATTTGGCGATTTGGAGCACTTTGGTTTTTGGGCACTCATCTCTGTCTTCACCATTTGGGTTGTTTTCTTCGAGGTAGGGATTTCCTACTCCATCTTATAAGTTTTGTTCTAAGTTTTGGTATTTTGATATGTTGGGGTACTTTGGTAATTTTGGAGACCCTAGTTGTATTAAAAATTATTTGTATAATAATTTAAGGGAATTGGGAATTTGGTTAAATTCATGAAATTAGAAATTCATTGATTAAATGGTGTAGTTGGATAATTTAAATCACTACCTATTGAATTGTTGATATATTTATTTCCAGTCTAGAAATAACTGTTTTGGGCTATCAGTGGAGGATAGTCGTGATGTTGTAGACATTGCATGTGGATTAGAATAACTGAAACTAATCACATTGGTTAGTCATTAATTTTGACTATTGAAATAATACTGAAAATACGTGTATTGATTGAGCATTGCATTTGCATATTGTGTGGAAGGAGATAGGGGATGTACTCCACGCTTAGGGAAGATAGGGGATGACCTCTAAACCGGATTTTTGTTTGGAGGAGATAGGGATGGACTCCATTAGCATCACTTTATGTGTGCTTATTATATTGAAGTGTTTTTATTGATACAACACTAAAATGTGTATCAACTGGAAGTATGAAGTGTTTTGATTTGAGCCTGAGTCTCATCTGTTTGTTGACATGGAAGAATGTGAATATGATATATATATAGTTCACTGTGAAAGTTGGCCAGGTTTTGAGCCATATTGATAATGTTGAAAGTAAAACGTGTCATAGACATTAGTGTCATGAAACTGTATAATGATGTAATTGATTATCTTGGTTAACCATCTATTGAATGCTATTGCTTTATTCAATGCTTATATTTGGTTTAGTATATTTCTACTGGGCTGTGGCTCACCCTTTATGGGAACATCATTTTCAGGTTCAGGTGATAAGCTACCTCCAAGGACTTAGCTTGGAAGGATATGGATTTTGAAGACTATCTTTAGTTATTTGTTTTTATTTGATAAACATTCATGCCTAGGGCTTTATTTGTATTTGAGTTAGAACTCATATTTTTGTGTCCAAGTGTTGGCTTGGAAAGATGTAAGCCCATAGGGCATTTGATTTGATATTACATGTAATGTTTTCATTTAGTAATACTCTGATGAATGAGATAATGAATTGTTCTCTTTTAATATTGCATGTCAATGATATATATATATTGGGTATATTTTGAGGGCGTGACAACTTGGTATCAGAGCGTACCGGGTTTTGAATACTTTGGGTACGTGGGAAGTGATTAGTATCACATTGGGTGCGTCTCGTTTGATAGAGACTTAGTGTAATGTTATATGCTTATGTGATAACATGTTTATGTGATTATGTGGGTATGGAATGTAGTTTCTAGGACGTTGATTGAACCCTTGAGTTCCTAGTAGTCTTGTTGGAAAGGCACTTGATCACTGCTGCTTCCAACCGGAACTATAGTAACGTATTGGGACTATCATTATCCGGGAATGAAATTCGTAGGTGCTTATGTAATTATGTGCTTACGTGGAATGAATTATTGTTGTCCAATGCATTAGGACGTAAGTGTTTAGCTTCGACACATTTATTAATGTGCTAACGTCTTTGTTTCCTTCATTAGGATGTCAGGACGAGGACGAGGACGCAGTAGGCGTGGTAGGCCGGGTAGGCAGGAGGTGCCTGTGCCAGAGGAGATTCCGGCAGTTCAGGAGGGTATTGGCCAGGCCAATGTGGCAGAGCCAGTAGGCCAGCAGGCTATGGGCGCTCTAGCCCGAGAGATACCAGGGGCATTCAGGGAGTCAGTAGGCATTCTTAGAGCTGAGAATCAAGCTCGGGATGTTGTTGCGGATGCAGGACCTTCCTTTCTGAAGAGGGAGTTCTTCCGGTCTAATCCGAATGAATTTGTGGGTGATCCTAAAGAGCCGCTTAAGGCAGATGAATAGCTCGAACAGACAACGAAGACGTTTGAGATGCTTGGCATCGAAAACGAGGAGTTGAAAGTGACCTTGGCATCTTTCCAGTTCAAGGGGGATGCGGGTCAGTGGTGGAAGTTTACTAAGGGTCGTATAAGAGGTACATGGGAGGCTTTTGTAAATGCTTTCCAGGAAAAGTTCTTATCTCCAGCAGTTAGGGAGAAGCTGAGAGACCAGTTCTACCAGCTTAAGCAGTCGAGCTCTTCAGTGGCCGAGTTTGAGGCTGCATTTACTAGTTTGTCCAGGTTTGCACCTGAGTTGGTGGCGCCTGAGGAACGTCGTTGTATTGAGTTCGAGAAGAAGTTGAGGCGTGGCCTCAAGCTGAGAGTTGGGGGAACTATGATTCGGGATTATGGGCGCCTGGTTGATGCTACAGCCCACATGGAAATCATGATGCAGGAGGAGGAGGAAGGACAGAAGGGCTCCAAGAGGAGTCAGGATGGTCAGAGTGATGGTAGGAGACAGAAGGGTTTTAATCCTCAGCAGTCTCAGGGTAGCTTTTCTAGATTGACTTTTCCTATGCCGAGTGCTAGTTCGAGGAAAGGTAGTCAGGGAGACATTACCTGTTTCAAGTGTGGCCAGCTGGGCCACAAGACTCCAGTTTGTCCTCAGAGGGGAGGAGTGCAGAGAGCAGCATCATCTTCGGCTCGATCTCAGAGCCAGAGTCAGGGTAGAGGAAAAAGGAAATTCAACGGGGATGGAAATTGAATACAAATAGAAGTTGAATAAAAATAGAAATGGAAACTGCATAAAATTAAACATGAAAGTTCATTCAAGAAACAACTATACCTTAACGATCTATTTGGAAATTAAATAAAAAAGGAAATTGAATAGAAAAGGAACATGAATAAAAATGGAAGTGGAATCGAGTTTGAGGCTGCATTTACTAGCTTGTGCAGGTTTGCACCTGAGTTGGTGGCGTCTGAGGAACGCCGTTGTATATTAAAAATTCTGAAATTGACCCGGCAAAACTAATGTACCGGTTCAACATTTTTGGAGTTATCAAGACCGTGCTTAAGTTGGAATTGGGTGATAGGCATATTCAGTAATTGAAAAATAGTGAATTCTGGCCAATGATTGATGTTATTCGTGTCCAGAATATAGATCCTAGATTTTGCTCAAGGTGTGATGCAACGGTTTGTCGCATTATTCAATCATACAACCCCAAATATGAGAAGTTCCACGTTGCTGGAGCTAAGTTACCATTGAGGAATAATGATATCAGGTTGATATTTGGGGTATAGTGTGGGAAAGAGGTGTTGGTAATGTGTTGCCACCGGGGTATGTTCCGCGAGGACGGAGTGAGCTTAGTGGTCTACTTGCTAACCTTTCGATTAGTGAGGATGATGAGACTCAAATTGTGTTGCCAAGAGTGGTTTGTGAGTACTTGGACGTCCTTCCCGAGGATCTTGTTGGTTTGCCACTGCATCGAGAGATTGAATTCTCTATTGACCTAGTGCCCGGTACGGCGTCGATTTCTATGGCACCTTATCGTTTTGCCCCAGCCGAGTTAGTTGAGTTGAAGATTTAGCTCCAGGAATTACTAGACAAAGGTTTTATACGTCCTAGTGTTTCGTCGTGGGGAGCACCGGCCCTCTTTGTTAAAAAGAAAGGTGGTGCTTTGAGACTTTGTATAGATTACCGGAAATTGAATCGGGCTACGGTTAAGAATAAGTACCCTATGCCTCGTATAGATGATCTGTTCGATCAGTTGAAGGGTTCCCGTTGTTTCTCGAAGATAGACTTGAGATCGGGTTATCATCAGTTAAGAGTCAGGGAGGAGGATATTCCGAAAACGGCTTTCCGTACGCGGTATGGCCACTATGAGTTTCTGGTGATGCCATTTGGGCTCACCAATGCACCGGCAGTTTTTATGGATTTGATGAACCGGATATTCGGGGAATTTTTAGATCGTTTTTTAGTTGTCTTCGTGGACGACATCCTTATCTATTCACCTTCTGAGGAGAAGCACAAGGAACACTTAAGAGTGGTGTTTGAGTTGCTTAGAGCCCATAAGCTTTATGCCAAGTTTGGGAAGTGTGAGTTCTGGCTAGAAGAAGTCAAGTTCTTAGGCCATGTAGTTTCTGGGGAAGGAGTGTCTGTTGATACATCCAAGACTGAGGCGGTGCAAGATTGGGCACAGCCTAAGAGTGTGTTTGAGATTCGCAGTTTTCTGGGGTTAGCTGGGTATTATCGTCGGTTTGTGAAAGATTTCTCCAGATTAGCTTCGCCTTTGACTAGTTTGACTCGTAAGGGAGTCAAATTTATATGGAGTGAGACTTGTGAAAAGTCGTTTCAGGAGTTGAAAGTTAGACTGACCACCGCTCCAGTATTGATTATTCCAGAGAGAGGGTTGGGTTATGCAGTCTATTGTGACGCCTCACGAGAGGGTCTGGGTTGTGTGTTGATGCAGGAGGGGAAAGTGATTGCCTATGGCTCACGTCAGTTGAAAACTCACGAGCAGAATTACCCTACGCATGATCTAGAGTTAGCAGCTGTGATATTTGCCTTGAAGATTTGGAGACATTATCTTTATAGTGAGAGGTTCGAGGTATTCTCGAATCATAAGAGTCTGAGATATTTGTTTATACAGAAAGACTTGAACTTGAGGCAGAGGAGGTGGATGGAGTTCATAGAGGATTATGACTTTGAGTTACATTATCATCCGGGAAAGGCCAATGTGGTGGCCGATGCCCTTAGCAGGAAACCTGTCGATGACATAACTAGTATAGCCATCCGAGAATGGGAGATGTTGGGTGCACTTGGGGAGTTTGATTTACTTCTGGGCGAATCCGTTGAGGCTGCGGCCTTGTTTTCTGTTGTTGCGCAGCCTACACTTGTGATTAGAGTGTTAGAGGCACAGAGAGGTGACCTTGAGATGCCAGGGAAAGGTTGGCTGGTTGTCTCTTTAACTTTCATATGTCATAAAAATTGAAGGGTTCCTCCCTATCACACACACACACACACACACACACACACACACACACACACAACCCATGTGTTTTTAAATATTAATTTGGAGTTATATTGCAGATGGTAGTGGTTGTAGATGACGAAGATAGAGAAAATGAAGGAGATTTAATAATGGCGGCATCAATGGTTACACCGGAAGCTATGGCTTTTTTTGTCAAGCATGGAACTGGAATTGTTTGTGTTAGCATGAAAGGGGAAGACCTTGAGAGATTGGAACTTCCTTTGATGGTTGCCCGAAAGGATAATGAAGAGAAACTTTGTACTGCATTCACAGTCTCAGTGGTATGCAGTTGTTTTACTTCTTGACAAAATTGACGCTACTGTGGAATTTTTATTCAATTTTTTTTTTGGTCTCGGTTTCAGTTTTTAAGGACTTGCATTTTTTAAAAAAATTATGCCAATTTCTCATTCTCACTTGAAAGTTGAAATAAATTCAAATATTGAAATATTGTTAAAAAAAATCAACTTGTGATGTGGACTTGCTTTAGAAATCACTTGTTTAGCAATTCTTCTACTCACATGAGATGGGATGATAATCGATGCATTTGTAAATTATGCTTCTGCAGGATGCAAAAGAAGGTACAACGACAGGGGTGTCAGCTCATGATAGAGCAACGACAATATTGGCTCTTGCATCCAAAGATTCAAAGCCCGAGGATTTCAACCGCCCAGGCCATATATTTCCATTGAAATACAGGGAGGGCGGTGTTCTAAAAAGAGCTGGACATACAGAAGCATCTGTTGATCTCGCTATGCTAGCTGGGTTAGACCCTGTTGCAGTTCTATGTGAGATTGTAAATGATGATGGTTCCATGACTAGATTACAAAATGCTTCAGCAATTTGTGCAGTCACATAATTTGAAAATCATATCCATTGCTGATCTAATCAGGTACATTATAAATCATAATATCATCTCTTGGGAGGGTATTGCTGTCTTACTTTTCGTCATTTTCTAAGTATCTGTGATGTAATTGCTTCATCAATGTTCACATATTTTATTGTCTTTTATAATTTTTTTCGTGGCATAAAGAAAGACATTCTTGTTAATTGAATATTATGCAATTACTTCTTAGGGAAAAGTGCAAAAAACCTGACCGCAACCAATTATTCCTTTTAAAGTAGGCAAGCAATCATATTGCAAAATTTCCATGTTGTTTTCCACATCTAAAAACAATCCTGGAAAGTGTTTGATATGTTCTTAGTGACGAACAAATTGCCTTCTCAAAGCCATCTAAATTAGTTTATTACATGTAAAAAACTTCATTCATAGGACTTCATAAAATAGCATTATTTTCATATTTCTTACAATCATTGGTTATTAAGGCTTCATTTTTTTTTTCTCAATTTTGTTTTAGGGGTTGGATGTACATGTTGATGGCAAGCATGTAAAAGTTGTCATTCGCAGGATTTCATGAAATAGCATCTTTTTCATATATCTTATGCTGATGGCTCCATTCTTTGTAATTGACTTTGTCCTAGTGGATGTTTAATGTGTTTTGATGCTCTGGAAAACAAATTAAAGAAATTCCTAATCAATGGGATCCTACAATAACTTTGCTATTGTAAATTTTGGTTCTTATCATCAAATTTTGTACAAAAATAATCTGAATTGCAATACATATATCATTGGAATCTTTAGAGTAGTATCATGTATACTGTTTTTGTCTGAAGTTTGGGTGATTTGGCCCTCCTAAGAGACTAAGTGCACGTTTGATATGCTAGAATTGGCTGAAATAGAATGCCCATTCTAGCTTTGCATTCCCTTTGTCTTCTTGTTATGGCTTATGCAAGTGGGAATAGCCATTTCATTGGAATAACTATTCATTATTTCAATAAAAAATGAGAATACCTATTTCTGTCTCAAAGTTAAAGAATAGGCATTCTATTCCATCAAGGAATAATCTTAAAATATCGTCTGTTGGCCGCCGCCACGGCTGTAGCTGCTATCACCACTATCATGCCACTGCCACCCTATTACCACCACCACCTCAACACCAAACCTTCACCAAAAATAAATTATTTGGTTTTGTTAATTCTGTGGATTTTTAGATGCAGGGATATCTAGATGAGTTTTATATATCCCGTAAACGAAGATTGTGCCTTCTTTGGTTCCTCTTTTTAATCAAATTTACTTGTTGAAAAATTAGAGATCCATAGAAGATAAACAGATTGTTGGCACAAGTGCATTGTAACTTAAAGTTGCAATGCATTGTAACTTAAAGTTGCAACGCACAAGATTTTGTTAGTTCTTCTGACAAGAAAACATTTTAGATTTTTCTCTGAGATCATTTTCAGCAGGCTTTTTTTTTTTTTTTTTTTTTTTTCAAATGTAAATTGTGATAGCATCAGATTGTAAATGCACTGACTCTTCAAATATGGATTACAATTGACAGATACAGGAGGAAGAGAGATAAATTAGTGGAACGTTCTTCTGCTGCAAGGATACCTACTATGTGGGGGCCTTTCACAGCCTACTGTTATAGGTCGGTCTTGGATGGGATTGAGCATATTGCAATGGTCAAGGTGAGAAATATTTGTGACTTCTGAAATATTATCTATTTCAAACAATTTTTGTATCTCAGTGACGCTCAACTCAACAAGCGTAATTTCAGTTACTTTGATTTTGTTTATATTGCAACACATATATTGAGGGTATAGTAATCATTAGTAGACTATTCAAGAGCATGCATGCTCATGGTTGCTCTTTCCTCAAATTCTTTTGTAAATTGTCTTCTTGTTGCTTGGCCATAAGAGATTCTGTTTTTCAAGTTAGGTGATGAAAAAATGTTCCAGTTATGTTTGTAGTAGGCAAAGCTGAGAGCTTATACTTGTGTCAAGTCTAAACAGATTTGGTATTTTCCCTTTGGGTAAATTACACACACCACTACTAAGATTTATGGAAAATACAGATTCTCCCTTCTAGTTTGAGAAATTACAAATTCCCCCTACCAGAGTTTGTCTTTTAACGAAGTTTATAGAAAAATTAAAATTACCTGATTACTCTCAAATACCAAAAGAAAATTATCCTACTACCCTCATCTCCTTCCTCCCTCCTCCACCCAAACCCCTCCCTGTACACAGCCTCAGCCACCCTTTCCCGCTATATCCCAACTCTGAAGAACAAGTGTTTTTGCAATTTTGCTCCTGGTTCTGCTTCTGTGTCACATCTTGTTTTCGACGCCACAATTTCTAACCATCACCTTTGGCAATCTTTGGATATTTTGTTTGTTGATTGTTTGCCCAAATATGTGTGTGTTTTGGGTATTTTATTTGTTGATTGTTTACCCAAATATGATTCTAGCTTTCTGTATTGCTTCAGTAGCTGCTTTTATTTTTCAAATAAACTTTTGAACAGTGACTTGGAACAGAGAACTGAACTGGCTTTAATTTTTACACATTTTTGTGGGTATTTTTTGGCATGTCCATTAGAAAATGTCAAGCTCTACTCGAGCACAAACCCTACAACATGATTTTATTTTAAATTTTTTTTAGTATACCTTGCAACATGATGATGTGGTAGTGCGGTAAAGAGAGGGAAGATTGGTGCTATTTTATAGAGAGAATAAGACACTGTGAGTGTAAAATGGGTATTTTGAAAAATAAAACTGCTGACATCATCAAACATTTTTAGTTGACCGAACAGTTGACTAACAGAGGGGGATATTTGTTATGTGCTTTGAAACCTCATGGGCAAAGAAAATAAATAAAACAAGTTTCCTAACCATTTAGGAGCAATTTTAACAAGATTTTTTATGTCAACAGGGCGACATTGGGGATGGGCAGGATATCCTTGTGAGGGTACATTCAGAATGCCTCACAGGGGACATATTTGGATCGGCCAGATGTGACTGTGGGAACCAGCTGGCACTCGCAATGCAACAGATTGAGGCTGCTGGCAAGGGTGTGTTGGTATATCTTCGTGGCCATGAAGGGAGGGGCATTGGTTTGGGCCACAAGCTCCGTGCTTATAATTTACAGGATGATGGACGTGACACTGTGGAAGCCAACGAGGAGCTCGGTTTGCCTGTTGATTCAAGAGAGTATGGCATTGGTGCACAGGTATAGTGGTTATCTTTTCTCCTACATACTATACTACTATTTAGTTTTCCCCAACGTGAGTGTAGGTGGCTTCATTTATTTTTTTTGTTTTTTGGAATTAGTTTTCCTATGATTATTTGTGGTGCTTTTGAAAACGATACTCCCTCCGTCCCAAAATAATGGTCCCTTTTGGGGAATCCAACTTTTTTTGGTAGTACAATTATTGTACTTTTAAAAAGTTGGTTTTCCAAAATTATCCTTTGATAGTACACTTTTTTGAGAATATCAATGTCATAATTGTACTTTTTATATTATTTATGAATTTAAAAGAAGGGCAAAATGGGAAATTTATATTATTTTTGTACTTAATTTTTGAAGAGGGACTAATATTTTGGGACAATGAAAAATGGAATAAGGGACTAATATTATGGGACGGAGGGAGTATTAGATTTTCTATGCCCCTTATTTTGCACACTTAATAGCAATCTATGCTATGTCATGGTTGGTCTCTTTGCAATTTTAACCCTATTGCTATGGTCAATAGAAAACAAGTTTATTTGCGATTTTTTCAATTTTTTCTTCTCACTTCTGAAAGTTGGAAAAAAAAATTTCTGACTAAAATCTTACCACCCCAGCGCCACCACCTCCTCCAACACCATTAATACAACTACTAGCACATTAGTTTCAAGGTTGCAACCAAATATTCCCCAGAAACAAACGGAGAGTTAAATTCCCCAGTCAGTACTTAGCAAGTATGATGACTGTCTCTAATCTTCTTCCACTATCCTATGACCTCGTTAGGGCATAGAATCAAGGGAATTTCAGCTTACTAAGTGGATTTAAATAATTATTCAATTTAAAGAAGGAAAAAAAAAAAAAAAAAAAAACTTCATTTTAATCGTCTGTCACCATTTGCAGAAGTATCAGTTTGGGATCCAGAGTTAAAAATAAATTTTCTATATTATAGTACTCACCTGGGTTACAGATCTATCAGAAGAGTAAAGCTTCTTTCTCCATTGCTTCCTTGGAGAATAGTTTTGGATATCATATATACTATTAGTTAATTACTTTTGTATCCTTTATCATTGCAGATACTAAGAAATCTTGGGGTTCGAACAATGAAGTTGATGACAAACAACCCCGCAAAATACATCGGGCTCAAGGGGTACGGTTTGGCGGTTGCAGGGAGAGTCCCCCTCGTGACACCCATTACAACGGATAACAAAAGATACTTGGAGACAAAACGTGCCAAAATGGGACACGTGTATGGTGTAGAATTCAGTGATCTCATCAGTGGAAATGGTAAACTGAGTTCTGACAGTAAGACTGATATTGTACCTGACATTTAACCTTGCTTCCCCAATTCATACACAGGCAAGTTACCCAGATGGGCTAGTATACATTATGGAATGGTAACCATTGCAAAATTCCATTGTTCTGAAGCTAGATATAATATTGATTCTTTCATAGTCATTGATGAAATTCAACAACCCGTGTACTACAGAATATGATCGAAATTCTGGTGAAAATTCAGGAAAAGATGTTGTATGCAATTCTTTGCAGTGTAAAGTACACATTAAGAGGAAATTTCTGTTTCCATGGAATAAAGTACCTATCTAGTTTCAATAGCATTACTTATTTTTCGAAGCAAATTCGCATGGTAGTTTTGCATCTGGAAAACTAATGAATTCCGGACTTGTATTTCAAATATATAAATACATTTTTACTGTGTTTCTAATTCTTGTTTTGTTTTGAATGTGTGGTTGCACGTGACAAATGGGAATCATGGCTTATTTAGTATTGCTGTGAGGATGCACAAAGATTATAAGTCATGTTTGATTCACAAGACTAATAGTGAGGTATTAATAATTCTATTAAATTAGTGTGGTATTCATTATCTCACCCTTATCCCATTATTAATAATTTACAAATTTGTTGGATTAATTATCCGTTGGATTAATAATCTTAAATTAAAATGTCAAAACAAATATAGAATAATTGGATTCACGCATTAATAATTTCAATTTCATGTTTTAATCTTTCCAATCAAGCATGCCCATAAAGATTAACATAGATGATTTAAGAATTAGGATTATGTCCGGTTACTCCGATTTTTTATAATTCACAATCATCATAGAATAACAAGATATAAGAAATAATTTGTCCACTGCTTAGTGTTCAGTGTGCATCTCAATTAGTGGATCATGTGAGGATCTCAATGCATAATCTTCTGATTAGAGATGTATTGTGATGAGATATATAAATTTAGGGATAGAGAATTTCTTATGGTTAACTCAAAATTATTAGATATGATTGTTTTACTAAGTGAATATTTAATTATGGCTTATTTTGGAAAATAGATTAAAAGTTAATTTTTTTTTTAAAAAAAATTTGAAAAATATGTAAAAAAAGATAAAGAAGTAATATGTGATTTAAAAAATAAAAAAAATAAAAAAATTGGCTTTTAATCCAGTTAACAGATATAAGCCTACATATACTTGTAGGGTTTTATATTAAACAAAATTCACAAAACTCTCTCTCTCTCACTTTTTAATATATAATAATATATTCAGATATGTGACCAAACCAAAACAACTAGAGACTCCTAAAGGGTTTCATTTGAGTATTCTATTCTCATCTCTCTACTTCTATCTATCTACATTATATAAACTAGCATGAAACCGTAATACGTAGCGAGGAGTGACTATCTTGCTTTTAGGAATTTTATGTTGCCTGTTGTGTTTAAGTAATAGTAAGGAGTGAAATGAATATATAGTTCTAATTATAACAAAATAACATATAAATTATAATAGATTATTAGTTGTGATGCTACAACTAGTCTCTGAAGAATGGGTTGGACTGATCTAGGCTTCCCACACGGTTGTTCGATCGTTGGCCCCATGGAGAAACCTGCACAAGAGTTCAACGGGGAACGGGAGTCCCCCCAGTGAACCCTCCGACAAACAAGTTAGAGAAATAATAATTAACGGAATATTGAGATTGGATTGTGATAAAGAACTTAACCTTCTCTCTGTCTTAGAAACCTGCGTATATCCTTTGCTCATCATTTCCTTGTCTATTCCGACTTGTCATGTTGGTCGAAAGTCTATGCTCTAGCTTGCGTTGTTCATGGTGAGACTGTCCTGTTCCGACGTGAAGGGGTAATCGTAATAAATGTTGCAGGGGACCTCATTAATGGCTGATGTGTGGTGCAATAACTCTGCAGGATCTTTGTCTGCTTATGTGATTGGTTCCTCTCTTGACACGTGTTTAGATATCATTGGTCCTTGATGCAACGTTGGGCACCAGCAATGCTGGGCTCCAACAATGTTGGGCTTTAGTGTTTGAATTATGTATTGGGCTCTAAGTGGTGAGCCAAAACCTCCTATAGGCCCACCTATGTCAGTAGTCCCTGTAGACGTTCCCGAACGTCCCGGGAGGAATCCCCCCATTTTGTTCATTTGGGCTCACTACAGTTCGGACTCAATGTTACGGTTCTGTATCTAATCTCGCAGAGTGCAATGCAAGACCGATGAATCATCAAAGAGTCCAAATCTGGTAAATCGTTTTGGAAAACAGATTTTTAAGAAAAAAGTGCCAAACATGGACTGCTTTGCCAGATAAAGAGTCGTCACCTAAATATTTTATTTTGGGGGAATTTAGGAAACCCTGACTCGTTGCCTAAGGCCACGTGTCCGTCATCACCAAAGTTGTCTCGGCTTGGGAACTTGGGTACGATTGGGGAAGGTCACTTCGTGAGCACCCCCGCTCGCCCGATCAAAGATCGGCCTCTACTAACCATGATATCTTGTTTTGAAAACATATGTGTTCTTATTCCGGTTTATTAGCCTAGAATTACTACGTGATGCGCACAGCAAAACAAGTATAGACTAGGTCGCCTGAATTGGAACAAAACATTTCATGTTTGTTTATTTTGAAAACGGTTTGATGGTGCTACTCGCAAGTAGGATAAGACGTGGATTTGCCACCCTCGGATGGGCTTAGAAAACATGATTTTGCCACTCTCAAGTGGCCTTAAAACTCGCAGTCGATGAATTGTTCCAATCCAAATAACCCAACCTTCACCTACAGGCATTCAGGTAGTTATATCATATAAGCACATAGACTCATGTTAAGCATGCTATCATGACAATCACTCACACGCATGCAAGGATGCTAAAGCATAAGCACTTACCGAGTACTTCGAGCCAAAGAAAGAAGTTAATTAGAAATCATGCATGAATCCAAACTATGCTGAGATGCCTAATGCAACACATGCAAAATGCAACTAAAAATAGGCCCGGCTATTCTAAGATGGCATATGATGATGTTACAGCTAATACGGATTCAACTTAGAATTGAAATACAATGCAGTTAATATGATGCGCCGAGCCCGGTGCATGCAAGACAGATGAATGACTGCAAACATGCGAAGCATAAGTATGCTAATTGAAACGTGCCCTAATCTAACCATCAAAAGCAAGTAAATAAAAGGGAGAAAGATGTGGGGTTGGAAGACATGCATCACACACATGCACACTTATTACAATATTGCCCTCTCGCGGAGGGTCCGAATAAATAATACAGTCCGAATAAATAATTAACTACTCTAGCTAATTAAATATTACAAAACCCTAATTAATTAACAAATTAACTAGGAAAGCAAATAGATTAGCATGCAAGCTAAATGGACCGCCTCAGCTCTGTTCCGAATGATGAAAGATGCATGCATGCTCGAGTTGCCTCGTCAGGAAATTCTTTGCGATGCCTCGATTTGCCTATACTTGCAATTGATCCCAGAACACTGTACAAAGCTCTAGAGGGCTGAAACTCCACCCTGAAAGACTGTGGGAAGGCTGCCGACCAGCCCTTGCCTATGGAGACCACCTGCTGACCACCCTTTGTGGTGGAGACCAAAAAAGGTGGTCGGCCTGCTTGAAAACCTGGTCGGCCGACCACTTTCTGCCCCTGGATTCTAGTTTTCTGCAACACAAAGCAAGAGAGAGGCATGGCAAGGTATTTACAACAAATGTGTGCACGACCACTCTCCCCGTTCTTGCACAAGCTCTAAGGAGTGTAGTCCTCGATCCTTGTGCCACCGATCACGCATCTCGATGCATGATGGCCGAGGAGTCGAATTGCACGACTCGATATGAAATGAATGCACATATAAACACAACAAGGCCCAAACTCCATCATGGGTAATTCGGAGAGTCGGCGACCGAGAATCGAGACACGTTTCGTCACTTGGAGTACGAAACGTCCCTCGTTTCCCGTGTTTGGACTAACCCTACTCCAAACACAATGCAACGAGATGGCGTACAAAATGCGACTAACATACAACCCTAAATGCGATGCAACCTAATCATGCTGGCATGCGAGGGATGACATACAAACATGCAACTAGCATACGCAATGCTATGAACTAATAATGGCATACTCAATGCACACAAACTAAATGGCATACGCAATGCACATACGAAGACAAACGATGAGATGATCAAGGCATACACAATGCAATGGCCAAACATGCAACACCATGAACTATATGGCACATACAATGCAAGATGGACTTATAACAATGTGAGTGGACCTCAGCCACACTCAAACCAATAGCCATATGATGAAAATGAGACAACCGAAATACATGCAAACATGCACGAATGCAAAGGACCGATCCTAAGGCACAGCATGCAACTCTAACAAAGCATGGAAAAGGATGAAATATGGCATAGAATGGCACATGATCCAGCTCTGAAATGGCATAAAAGATGGTCTCGAAACATGCAAACACTTCACACAATGCGTGCTAGATGACCCAGATACCGAAACTAGTGAAGTGGATTACACTATAGGTATACAAAGCAATGCACATATGACCAAACCACTCCCAAACAGTCCCTATGCAGACCTAAAATCAGTGGCAAAATGTGTTGGGATGGTGACTCGGAATGCATTCAAACGAAGCTCATGCAATGGTCGGTAAATGAGGCGCACAAGAATAACTCTAGAAAGCACTTAAAGCATGGAAAATGTGGAAGTATGGCACAAGTATAAGGTCTGAAATGTCATACACAATGATGCCAAAACATGTCAAGGGCCCAAACAACGCATGCTAGTGGACCCGATATGCAAAGCTAGTAAGCTTGATTGAACTATGACCATATACGACAATGCATGCATGACCCAAAACACTTCAAATAGAGCTAGGGCAGCCTAAAATATGAAGAAAATTAGCTTGGATCATGGCCAAAATATGCTAGAAAAGAGGGCCAAAAGATCATGCAATACAAGCTAGTGAACCATGATTTGCACTACAACCATATGAAGCACATGAGAGGTCACCAAACTAGCCAAAAAAAGGAACATGGCATGCCAAAATATGAACAAAAATTCACTGAAACTCAGTCATCACATGTTAGAATGAGGTGCTCCTTTGGAAGGCCATGCAAGGGGTTGTTCTACACATGCAAGATGGACATTCAATATGAAAAAACCACCTCTGGAAAGAGGGTATGAAGGCCCTAAAACTCATTGAAAAGGGCCTGAAATGAGGTTAGGAAGCATGCAAGTAAAGGCTCATTTGAAAGGCCATGAAGAGGGTTACTCTACACATGCAAGAGGGACACCTAATATGG